TCTAACACTTAATCTTTAAAGAAAAGACACTAGTGCTTGTTAGAGAAAAAGAAATGCATTATCTCATTAAGTGCTAGTTATGTGCATTGAAAAGTGGCAGCTAGAGTGCACTTGTAGAAAAGAGTAATGTCATGTAATACTCATGTTCTCATGCTCACAGTGGAAAGTCTTACGGTTCTTACTTTTGGAGAGAACCGTAAGAAAAATTCTCCAATCACATCAGCAAATGTGGGTAGTGATATCTTGTCCACTATAGACATGAGAACAATTTATTGTCATGTAATATTACGGTTGCTTAGCATTAGTCTAAATGGAAATCAGGTCTATATCGTGTATGAAGTTCTCACGTTTATAGAGAACCGTAAGGAATGTTATCCTATTACATCAGTAAGTAGATAGTCTTATCTTATCCACGATGGGCAGGAGAATAATTTCTTGCCATATAATATTACTGTTGCTTAGCAATTGTCCAAGTGGCAATCAGGTCTATATCATGTATGAACTCATTTTATTTTATTTTATAAATCTAAATTAGTTTTTAGTAAACTTAAATTGGTGAAGTGTTTGTCTTGAGTGACTAAAATATATCGTCATTATTTATCGAATTTTGTCATATCTACATCCTCTTAAATTTGTTTATCTCAACGTAATCATATTTTGGACACACGCGTTGATTTCATTAGAAGATAATAATTTCTAAACTATCATTAGAGAGGAATGATTTGGTTCAACTCATACAAGTACAATTAATAGATTTAATTTTTAAACAAAATAAATATGTAATTTCATTATTAGTTCATCTTAGTTGAAGCTGGAAATTATATATCTATAATTTTTAATAATGATTTGGTCTATTGTTGTTCCAATAATTGAGAATGTATTGTTGTAATGATATATTATCAAATTTCCTTAATAATTGCTGCTGTAACATCTACCTGACATCTATGTTAGATACAATTATTGGAGAATATATATTAAACAAATTTCTTTGTAATAATATTTTTCAACTCTTGAAAAGTCCATAACCTGTCACTATAAATGCAAAATTAATTAATTAATTGTTCTATTTATACGTAGTAAAGATACATCTGTATAAAAGAAATCGATTCAACCCATAATGTACCGTGTTAGCCGGATCACTGAACTCTCAACAACCTTTTTCGAACTAACCAAAAAGGGGGTTGAATGAGTTGTTCAGATAAGTTCACTAAGATCATTTGGACCCATCTTTTTAGACAGATCGACCCACATACAGTTCGTTTCAAGTCAATCAAATCGCGAAAACCCCACCTTTAAACTTCTGATGTGGGTGCCAATTGTGCAATGGGCATTATATATTGGACACCTGTCTGTCATGTCCAATTTCCACAATTTTATCATTCGAAGTGGTGCTTTTTTTGAGTTTATGTCACGTCCCAATTTTCATCCCTTATTTAAACTTGTATAGTTGTATTCCATATTTATACAAATTTAAAAAAAAAAAAAAAATTCCAAAATTAGAATAAAGGAGACATGAAACTAGTTAAACTACACGTGTTTACCGTTCAAGGAAATACATTAATAATCAAACTTATTGGACAAAAGCGAAAAAAATATTGTAATCCCAAAGCTCAAATTACCATTCGTAACCCATCACAGGCAGTGTCTCGTCCTATCTATCATTATTGTACGAAATATACTTTAGAAGTTAAGCATTTCATTTCCCATAAATGAACAGTCATATTGATTGGATGCATTTCTCCAACCACCACAGGCTGGTAGGGCGCAATGTTACGTGTATGTATTAGAAATTTTCACCTAGTCAAGAATGTTGGAAAAAGTAGGTCACAAGTCATGTGCAAATTGAACGTATTCGTAGATTAATTTGAAGTTCTTGGACTTATATATAATTATTTTTTCGCGTTTCTTCACATGCATAATGTCTATATCAACCTTAGGACCACCTTGATTTGAACAATTTTTCATGGGAGACAGAGCAATAAAATTGAAAACTAAAATGTGTGTAAAAAAACAAATGCACATGCATGTATTCAATAATGCAAAAGCATAAGCAGTGTGTATGAGAATATTCATAGATTTTTGTACTTGGTGTGGGCCAATTTAGACTAAATTCGATAGTATCGTAATCCATGATTTTGGTACGAGACTTCTTTTTATTTTTAACACAACTTATACTATTGAACGAACTATAAGGACGTTTAAGAGATTTTCATGAATCGATGCAGGGCCGATTTACACATATTCAGCAGGGAACAAGCAGCATTTGTATGTGAATCATCCAGAGCTAGTAAAGGAGATGAATCAAAGTACATCTTTAGACTTAGGCAAGCCTTCATATGTCACAAAAAGACTAGCTCCCATGCTTGGTAATGGCATTTTGAGATCCAACGGTCATATTTGGGCCCAACAGAGAAAAATTGTTGCCCCAGAATTCTACATGGATAAAGTTAAGGTAAATTTCTTTTTCTAGGCATAAATATTAAATATGGACGGATAAGAGCAGTGTAAATTGGTCTCTAACCTTTTAAAAGAAGCAAGTTGGTCTATTATAGTTGTACAATCTGTTCGCAACGGCAAAAATGTCCACATTTCAGTCGAAATGACAACTCAGTGAAAGTATGGAGAAATTTGAATTGAAGCATATTTAACAAAGATTTAGACAGTTTTCAATTGTTGAGACTGAATTTGCAAGGACCAATACTGCGATTTTTCCATTTTTTTTTCTTGATTTTGTCGGGTCGAAAGCACTGAGCATGCCTTTTTTTTTTTTGGCGAATCCCTAATAAAGATTGATTCAAAAGCCCTCTACTGGAATGACAGGGTATGGTTGGATTGATGTTGGAGTCAGCTAAAACATTAACTGGCAAATGGGAGGGATGCATAGAATCACAAGGTGGCATTATGGCAGAGATCGAAGCTGAAGAGGATTTAAGGAGTCTTTCAGCAGATGTAATTTCAAAAGCTTGCTTTGGGGGCTCTTATACGAAAGGAAAAGACATTTTCTCAAAGCTTAGAGCACTTCAGAAAGCCATTTCTAACCAGTGCTTTCTTTTCGGTTTCCATACATTTGGGTACGTACAAAGTATAAGAACTTGGGTTTCATAATATATTTATTTCATCATGATTCTTTGCGCTGGTTTTAGTTCTTGTCAGATCGAATAGCTCATTTGAAGTTAGTAGCCCAATGACTTACATACTGTATATTTATTTCATCGTAATTCGACATGAGATTTATCTCTTAACACGAACATCTCCCTAAAATGAAGTGCGTGTTGGAATAATCATCTCGTCTAGAAGCTTAACCTATTAGAGCGCACCACTACAGGTTACTTCCAAGTGCGCAACAAAAGAAAATAGAGAATTTGGAGAAAGAGATAGAGGCATTGATTTTGGAAGCAGTAAATGAAAGAAAAAGGGAATGCATAGAAACATCATCGTTTGAAAAGGATCTACTGCAGTTAATTTTAGAGGGAGCCATAAATGATGTGGGCAAGGATTCATCCAAGAAATTCATAGTCGATAATTGCAAGAACATATATTTCGCGGGACACGAATCCACTGCTGTTGCTGCATCATGGTGCTTAATTCTTCTTGCTTTGCACCCCGAATGGCAAGCTCGTATGCGCGAAGAGATAGCTCAAGTATGTTCAGATGGTGGGCAGATCGATGCAGATTCACTAACGAAGCTGAAAACGGTACACACCCTCTCTTTTCCTCGTGAATACTTTAATGTCGAGTACTGTAGAGTCAACCTCAGACCGTTCAATTTTAGGTCACGATGGTGATTCAAGAAGTGCTGAGATTGTATCCACCAGCAGCATTTGTGTCAAGAGAGGCACTCCAAGAAACCCAAATAGGTCACATTGTTGTACCAAAAGGTGTATGCCTATGGACTTTGATCCCAACACTCCATAGGGATCCAGAAATTTGGGGGACAGATGCAAATGAGTTCAATCCTCAAAGGTTTGCAAATGGGATTTTAAAAGCATGCAAACTTCCCCAAGTTTATATTCCATTTGGATTAGGGCCTAGGCTTTGTTTGGGCAGAAATTTTGCAATGGTTCAGTTGAAGATTGAGATTTCACTTATCATTTCCAACTTCACCATTTCTCTGTCTCCCAAATATAAGCATTCTCCTGCCTATAGAATGATTGTAGAGCCTGGTCAAGGTGTGAATTTACTCATTCAAAGATGTTCTAATTAGGGTAGATGTAAAATTAGACACTCTTTTCTTTAATCTTTGTTGTATTATTCTATGTATAATACTTTTTATTACTCTTTAGTTTATAATAGATTCCATAATAAATACCTTGTATTCAAATGTCTTACAACCCTATTTTTGCTGACATTGTCTATTATTTTATTTAATATATGACAAGATTCTTCCAATTTCTCTCACGTGGGCTTGTAGACTATTGAATTCCAACTTCGAGCTCTTTCTATTCTGACCTAGCGTATGTCTAGTTGAAGCTTTTCACAATCAAAGTCAACCGTTGCAGGGTTTGGAGAAAAACTTCTAGCAAACATACAATCAGAAGTTCACATAGAATATCGTGCACGTTTAATGAGGAAGGTTTTTTTTTTTTTTTTCCTCTCTCTTCCGATGGGTCGTTTAATATTGAAAATACTTTTCATGATATATGTCAAACTATTAAAAAATGCAATTACAAAATATGTTGAGAAAATGAAGATAACTCGATTTTAAAGTACGATACTAGATTTCAAATTCAATGATCCAAAGTGTATATATTAAACCGTGGTAAATATTAATAAAAATATTAAAGTCAATAATTTCGACTCGGCTAATCTACAAATCTCTTCATATGGCTTTAAATAATAATTAAAAATGCAAACAGAATTTATCTATTTCCTCGTTAAAGGTGGAAAATGACAAAAATCTTTCACAAAGAATAAAACCACTGAAAAGAAAATTGAATTAAAAAAAAAAAGAGTAGAGTAGAAAAGGAATTTAGGTGGCGGAGGGGAAAAGGGTGGCTAAAATGGCAGTTGCAACCGCCGCTCTCGGTGGCTATTTTCCCTCCAAAATTCATTCTTTGCCACCACCGCTCAAAATAACCGGCCAAATCGAACGACCTTCGCCACCTCCACCGATATTCATATCCACTAATCCATCGCACGTGAATCTGCATCATCTAAAAGACCTCTACACCTTCTGCAACCACTCCTGCCACCGCTTCCCAAACGTGGACGCCACGGGCAGAGTCGAGGTCATTGATGCTGGCAAGCTCCGCACCGCCATTTTCCACAGCTCCGTCGTCGTTTCGGTCTTCACAAAGCCCGAATTTGTAACAACTCATTCTTCTCCAGTGGAAGTGTCAAATTTGATGGGCATTGGTGGAGAGTGGATCAAAAGAGTGATGCCAGTGACGCCAGATAATGGGCAGTTGATAGGGTTTGGTCGCGCTGTTTCGGATTTTGGATTGACAGCTTCTATCTATGATGTCATGGTTAGAAATTCGAAGGACCCTTTCGATTATAATTACAATCTCTTGTATTGATCTCAATTGCTTTAAAAACTCAGTCAGTTTGGTTTTGATCTTAATCTGTCCTATATAATGCTCTGATTAAACATATGAGGGAAAGGGGAGAAATTAACACTGATGAATTTGGTGAGACTAATAGTCATTTTTTTTTTTAGAAAAAGGTCTCGATATCGCTGTTTGTCAATAAATTTGAGGTCAACTACGTAGATCCTTTTCTACCGATTGTTCATTGCTATATTGCTGGAAGATTTTATCCTTAAAACTACAACATGCCATGTTATTTATACCTACTCTCCCTCTTTTGACTTGTTCTACCGAGATTGTGTCAATCTTGTGAATCGGAGCCTCTTTAGTGTTGATTTGTGATAAAGTTCTTGTAGATTGTAATGATAACATTTTACTGAATACCATTTTTTCGCACTAAAAAGAATAAAGAAAGAACTAGAAAAGGTATTTAAAAGGAAGATGCATCAGTAAATGCCAAGAAACTAGAAAAGGTATTTAAAAGGAAGATGCATCAGTAAATGCCAAGATAGCGTAATGCTTATGAAGTATGAGTAATGTTTGTTTTGAAGGATTATATTCTGCTTCACTTTGCTTTATCACTTCTGCTGTTGATAGTTTTTGACAAGAAATATATCTGCTGTACAAGTTTATATAATAGCGTTTTCAGTCTTGCAGGTTCTTCCTGCTCTACAAGGTAGAGGAATTGGCCGAATGATAGTTCAGAAAATTGTTAGGTTGGTTTCATTGATTAAATATATTACTATTTAAAGTTGGAATTTCGAGAAAAAGTAACAATTATTGGCATGTTTAGTAAAATGGACGGGATGGCATTAAAAAGAAAAATAAGTTCATATCTTCAATGGGTTTCCAATTTTGTTCACTACTACATGCCTAACATATCTATAAGTATATAACTGGTTGGTACTAGCTTCTTTCAGCATTTGATATGCAAACATTATTAGTGTCTGATAATTTCCCTTACTGTCATAGAATGCTGACGAACAGAGACATATACGATATAGCTGCTCTCTGCTCCGATAAAGAAAGGTAAACTTTTAACCTTTCTAGGAATGAGTGTGAAAGCCATTGCTAAGTTCTTCGCACCCAAATTTATATCAGATTGATGCTTATGGGTTATTCTCGAGATCTTGTGCATCTTGAGCTCCTTTTATAAGAGCCCCTTTTTCCGTCTTTGAAGTTATCTGGCAATAGCTTGACACCTGGGACCATTGATTGATTCTCCCATCAAGTAGAGTTCTTTGTTCCCAAGGGATACTGGTAAGATGACTAATAGAATTGTTGAGCACTATATTCCGACAGATCGACCTAGCTTTTTTCTGCATTGTTTAACTAAGTTACTGGGGGATTTCGACTCACCTATGCAGGGCACCTTTTGGGTGTTGGATGCTTGTTTATACTCTGTTTTTGCCTTTATTTAAAAGTCTAATTTGAGTACCAAAAAAACTGGTAGCTAGTTAAAAGCAATGTGTCTCGTAGACTATGATCCCATTTACATGCATTGCCTTGAATTTGTAAAATGTATACGCATTGGAAGTTATCATCTTTATCATCATTCATTATCTTAACAAATAAGCATGAATATTTCGCTTGTCTTGCCTTCTTATCTTTGTATTCTCCACAGGTTATTCTTTAGAGCATGTGGATTTGGAGACGATATACTGGGATCGACCACAATGATGTACACAAGGAATTCTAGCTATTCCATAGATGAGGAGACATTATCCGTTGGTAGAAAGCAATTGTTAGTCCCCCCCTCCAAGAAACTCTTAAAATCTTAATCTGTTTGCCAATCCTCATTATGATGCCATGTTGTGCTGCTATCGTTTCCGTCCTTGAGCAACAACCTTTTCCTAAACTGGAGGTACATGGAAGATGCTGCTTTCATGAGTATTGGGCCGATCAAAATTTCATCTTGAAATTCGACGTGATCAAGATTTCACCTTCAAGACAATACAGTGTGAAAGACATGGCAGTAAAAATGTTAGGCCTTTGTGAATACCTTTGCAATGTTTCATGCACAAATTTGTGGATAATTTACTGTTCATTAGTATTGGACAGCTTAAGAAAGAAAACGAAGCTAAAATTTATTCGTTGCAATGTTTAGTCTATATTGTGAAACTTTGACTTTTTGCACATGGATTTCTTTCCACCTGTGATGCACTCATGGGTCTCTCTCTAGAAAAGAGTGATAAAGCTTCTCTATACACTACACAGTTAATAAATAATTTCCTCGGTATAAAGCAAGGTAGCCTTCTGATATTATGCTAAGTAGGAGATATCTTTTATCTCCTCTATTGACTTTATCATCAAGAAAAGGTCCTTACGTGGGACAAATTCTTTTACCACTACTTGTTCATTACACAGCTGAAGGTTGCCTGAGATGGGGAAAATATGGGTTGAGATCTGCTTAATTTCCAGTCGTGGACTCCGGCAGACGTCGTCCCTTTTTAAGTAACAATGGTTTGCGGTTGGATGGATTGATCCTAGCAACCAGTATTGCGCCGAGATTGATGCTTCAGAGAATAACAATTTAGTTTGGAGAACTAAGTTTTCAATTACAGTCAACACTTCTGAACCAAACTTTCAAGATTTGGCTCTTCATGTTGAAGTTTACAGTAGAGAGCCAATCTTTCTTAGGCAAAGTCTCCTGGGAACTGTAACTACTGTTTTGAAAGAATATATGGACAAATAGATTAGTAGTTCTGAGGTTCCAAGGCCTGTTGAAGAAGTAGGGAGTTTCCAGCTGAGAAAAAAGAACTCCAACAAACCGTAAGGCTTTGTTGGGATCTCAATACGTATATTGGAGGAAGGAAAGATCCCAGTCCATCTTCTCTTGGTAATTCTTTCTAGTAACTTATATTTTTCTTCGCACTAGATGCATAATATTGACTGTTAAGGTTTTTTTAGGTGGGTAGGAAGAGTCTAGTCTCATGGATCACAGTGGTGGCATTAAGCTGGTTAGTCCATATGAACCCCGAGGAAATCACCAGCCACAACTGCCGCAGACACAACCTCAGCAACTAGCAAGCCCTCCACTGACAAATAGCCAATATGCCCTTCCAATGCCAATTCCTAAAATTATTCCCAGCCACCAAACTATCCACCAGTTGGCGGACCTAGCTATCAACCACCTCAAACTCACCACCGCCGCCTCCATCTTCTAATGTTGGTTACATACCGACATTCCTCCCAAGAACAAATAATCTGCTGCCTAGTTATGTAAATATGCCATCTTCTACAAGACCACCAGGAACAGGAAGGGGTGGACCTGATTTCGCAATGGGGGTAGGAGCAGGAGCGTTAGCAGCTGGTGCTATGATATTCGGTGATGATTTCATGTCAGGATTTGATTTTCCCGGTGGCTTACAAGATGCTAGTCTTACTATATCAGCTAATCCTCCTTTTTAGAAATGCTATATCATTATTCATTCATGCTGTGTCAGTGGCGTAACTTTGAATGTTTCTTTGTTGAAAACTTGCTCTGTATGTAATTTCATAAGCAAGAATATATAAAAGTGAATTTTGGAAACATTTCTTTCTGATAGAAACACAAAAATCACAAGAACATACTCTTGTAATTTTACATATAAAGAAATGTGCAATAGTGATAGGCATAATTAAAAACTTATTTCCATATACCACCGTATTGATGTTTTTATAGCCTCAATGATGATATTCTGTTTGAATCCGGAAGCCTGGAACTTGTTCCTTGATGAAACTTTGCAGCCCTCAATATATGAGCTTCATTTCAAATCTTCAATCTTGGTTGAGATTCCTATATGGCCCTGCTACTGTGTTACATTTGATCAGTACCAATATCAAGTTACAGCTTGCAGGTGTGCCTCTTCTGCAGCGCCAAATACTCTTTGCAGAAATTTTTCAACAATAGACACAAACTCGATTGCCTTTTCTTCTTGGGGTAAGTGACCACAATTCTTGATTATTTCAAGACAAGACCCCGGAATGGCACGTGAAAGTCTTTCAGAGTTCCATGAGGGGACAAGTCGATCAGTATCCCCCGTGACAATGAGAACTGGTTCATTAAGTGAATCACCATAATTAGATTCTATGCATTCATATAGAAAGCTGTTTAATTAAGGTTTGAAAGTGATTAAAATATATAACTTAAAAGTAATGCACCAGGTACATGCATTTGTTACAAAACTAAAGCACACAATTAGCTCATCCATCAACACCCTCACCTCAACAAGACTTTTTTCTTTACGAATTTTCTTTTGCTAAATCATATTAAAATTCTTGTCTTTATTTTCTTTTCAAGTGCACAATTTCAATAGTACAAAAGATTGAAAGGTATTTATAACCTACCTGGACATGAGATTTTGCTCAGCCTTTCTGCTAGTGGTGGCTTCAGTTTAGATGCAGAATCTGTTAGCAATGCCACAGTGTATTCCACAAGAGCCTTATCCCAGCCCTTGACCTTCAGTGGCTGAAATTTTCAAAATAATTTTAGCATGTTGAACGACCACCACACATCATACATTCCAAAGTAAAGAGAGAGCAAAGAAAATGCTTCAAGAGAAGTCACCTTTGTATAGCCTTGTAAAGTATGATCAGAAATTTGATTTGAATCATACCATGCATTCCGGATCGCTGGTATACCAAATTTATCAATTATCATCCTTACCTGAAACCACGAAGCAGGAAAGCAAAATAGTTAATATACATATGCCAAAATTAAAGCATGACACATACGCCAAAATTGAAGCATGATATGAACTCAGTATATGCAAGATGTAGCAAAGAGAATGATGTTTTAGGAAAGTTACACAGCCATCAAGAATATTCTCGACCAGTAAACAGTGCTTCAAGTCAGTAAAGATTCAAATAATTTAAACCTAGCAAATCTGGGAACTGAACAAAAATAAAATTCATTACCACCGTCACACCAAATGCAGAGCGCAGAATTGTCGATAAAGCTTTCTTATACAGAGAGTTTATCATTTCTCCCATCCCTTTCACCATGCGTACTATTGCCTTCGCAACATATTTAGTTAAGTTTGACAAAAGGCTACAAAATCTGAAAAATAGATTCTCAGGGTTATTGAAATCCAAGCTGCTCTCTTGGATCTGTTTGTCTCTGCCACCTTGCTTTTCTTTGTCAACTTTCTGTGCAGTGAATGGTGCAAGAATTGCAGGGGCAACAAGGATTAGAGCAGCAACCCGTTCTGGTGCCTCAAAATATGCATCTACAGCTACTAGGGAACCAGCAGAGTGCCTGGAATTCCATTAGTTTAACAGGGTTAGACCAGGGCTCGGCTTTTCAGAAAGGATAGGAGGAGAACCAGAAGAGTTCATCAAATATTACCAACTTCAAGTGATTGTACTAGTAATCTTATAATATTTGACTCTCAAGTACAAATCCTAATGTACAATTGATCTAGGGTACCAATCCAATTAATTTCGCTCTAGAACGAGAATAATGGATAGATATTCATGTTTTCATTGGAAATAAGATGAATAGTAAGCTAAAATCTATCCATAATTTTACGTGTTTCATAGAAGAATGTTGAGCATTTATATTTTTCTGAATTACTGTCAAAAATCATATACATGGAAAGAAACAACGGTTGGCTTAAATATCAATATCAATTGTGGGTGTGGTGGGTGAGTCTAAATCTTGCAAAGGTTAGTAAATTTAAGAACATCCTTACCATCAAGTGAGATACCAAGATTTTTTTCTCTTTGTAGTAAGAATGAGAACAAAACCAAAGATATAAATGGTACCTACCCCACAAGGATGGCCTTCTCTGCTTTTAGAAAGTCGATGAAGTATAGAGTTGCCAACACAGAAAACATCATCGAATATGGATTTAAAGTTCTGGTATCTTGGCTAACAGGAGATGAATGCTCAACGGGATTTATCCTAGATGTCAATCCAAATGCCGGTCTATCAAATGCAAGAACTTTTGAACCAATGACCTGTGCTAAAGGTTTCATAACTTGATTCCACGAAAAGACAGAGGCTCCAAAGCCATGTAACAAGATCATAGGGAAGTTAACCCTTTTAGCAATGTGAGGGTATTGCGAACTGGATGCATCTTCTACTGCATCACAAATCTTGTGGTGTAGTTGTACCCCATTGAACTCACAAAAGCAACTGTCAGGATCAGCTAGATGAGTTGGATCTTGTAATTCGTCCTGATCTATGCCTGCTATTCCTTGCGTTTTTTTCTTCCGTTCGACCAGGACTTGCTCTGGGAAAATCAATGAAAGATTGTATAAACCATCCTAATATCCAGATAACGCAAAATAAGTGAAAGAAAATGAGTCCAGAGTTTCATAGTTGTTTGGAGAAACTCTCATACATTAGTCTCAGATAGAGCTGGTAAGATTCATAACTTTCAACAACATCATTTCCTCTTCCATCCTTTTTACAAAGATTATGCATTTCATTCTCAGGCAATCAGTAACAATTATTTCAACAGGATACCAAAAATTAATATATGGTAATCAGCAGTCAAAAGAAAACAATCTGTCAAGTCTATAGTGAAAATTTGAAGGAAAACAGCAAATAGTCCGTTTAGACCAACTAAAATTATCAAGAACGCTGAAAAGCTGCCCAAAGAATGAGGGGAAAATTTTAGAAGCAAAATACAGAAAATCTTAAAATGAACCAGCCCAATAAAATTCTTAAATAAGAACAGCATAAAGGATTTTTATGAATGGCTAAAACTCCCATACCCCCCAACCCATAAGCCGAGTATACAGAATCTTGCTTAGCTCTTCATATTTCTGTCTATTCCTTTACACATAGGTTATGAATAATTCACATACATGTCAACAGAAAGTAGTAGAATCTAACAAAAGATAAAAAGATAGAGGCATTTGAAATTTATGAAATTGTTACCATTCAATTCGGCGCCGGAGCCACTTAGGGAAGAGGAGGAAGAAGCAGATGCAGCTTTGGTAAGAAAATCCAGCTTTGAAATGGGTTTCTTGAAATTGAGACTACAAGAAAAAGAAGAATTGTTCCATTTTCTGCTCTTCTTAGCTTCAGATTGCAGCCCAACATTTTTTTGTAATTTTGGGAGGCTAAGAAAAACGAACTTGTGATCATAAACCCCAGAAATACACATATGCATTATCTGCTCCTCAAAGAATCTAGGATATAAATTCGTATAATAAGTAAATAAATTGAATACTGAAATTTGTGGGAGTTGAAATGAATAGAAAACAAGACAAGCTGAACAAGTTTAATCCAATTACCAGGCAGATGAGAGTATTGGCAATTTGTACCCCTAAAGTTTGTTTATTTCTCCTTTTGCGCCCCCAAAAATACGAAATTTGGCAATTGACATCCTAAAATGGATGACTAAATGGAAATTACTCTCCAAAGTTAGCTCAATTGATATTCAAAAAAGTCCCTCTATCACGCTTGGAGATTAATGGTTCATTAGATACTACAACCCAAAATTGATAGATTCATTGATCATAATTAATGTGCATTGTGCCAAAGATTTTGTAATATTAGCGTGAAAAACATAAATCGGATACAAGTCATCACGTCCAATTATAGTCATTCTTTAGCCTAAGATTTAAAAATGATATTACTCACGATTTAATGATTGCAAGGAGAATAATTATATTTAACGTCATTGGTATTTAACATAAATCTGGGTATCAATATAAGTGATATAAAATGATTAATCCAATTAAATATGTGGATATATGTGTTGACATTTAACACGATGTTAAACACCACTACATAATATTCATCTTCAAAGGACAGTGAAATCCTCATACGAACCTTCTCGTGTGAAGATAGCTTTTGTCATATTTCATTTCGTTTATTTAGTGTTAAAAGTCATTTTTTAATTAAAAAGACTCAATGATCTTTTTTTAGTGTTAGAAGATGAATTATGTTTTCTTTTTTCCTATTTCTTCCTAAATTTAAGATGAATAACAAATTGAAAATATTGTGCAGGACTATTAGACCTTTATGAATTAATCCAAGTGAAAGGCACACCTCATTGGATTAAAGTACTTGTACATCATGTTTTGCACCTTGTTTACCACCCTAAATAGGTGGCAGTTTTTAATGATTGGATTAGAGTTATTTTTTTGTCAAAAATGAGTTAAGATCTTGCCAAGTGTTAAATATGTAAACTAAATGGTAGAGTTGGATGTACAAATAGCATCACTCCGCCCCATTTGTCCGACAAAAGAAGGCGGTGGGTGAAATAAGGGCGTTCGACGCAAGGAAAAGGTGGACATGAAGATGTCAATGTCAAGATTAAAAAGGTAAGTTATGTTTCCACCAAGCAAGCAAAGGTTAGGCACCATTTGTGCAATTTAGCCTTCAATAAAGATACAAAGTCATACTAAATAAAACTTGATCTGGTAAGCCCCAATTTGGTGGAGATTTTAATCCAATTCAAAATCAACAATTCATTTCAACCACATATTTTATGGGACTCCCAACTTTCCAATAGCGCATTTCATTAACTTTCATCAAAGTTCACTAAAAGTCTAATTTCAGACTTTCATCAACAGTGTTACCAATGAAGGTAAAAGTTTGTCATTTACAATTACAAGATCACAACAGATTACGTGTTGAATTGAGACGTTGCATTATATGTACATTCACAGGATTCTCAGCACATTTGTACAGAAAAAGGAACGCATGACATAAAGATAGCGATAGCCCTGTCTAGGTCTAGTTTCGGTTTTCAGAAAGAGAACATGTTCTTGCTGCACCATCGGCCCTCCATTCACTGGATCGAAGCTGCACCTGTAAAAACTGATAATCAGGAAAAGAAAGGAACACAATGAGATCAGTGGATATGATGAACTTCAAGGACACTGCTGACAGAGAACATCGCTGATGCCAAATAGTCGAAAATTTGTCAAATAATATTTCAATGTGTTCGACTCTTGGAACATTCAGATATAAATGCAAAGCTAAAGTTAGAAATGTCAAGCTACTGTAATGAAAAATGAAAGATGACGACAAAGTGCTCCTTACCTCCCATCCATGCCCACAATAATGACTGTGTCCTGAGTACCAAATGCTGTCATGAATCGGGTACATTCTGGCAAGTGAAACTGAGCAAATGACCATTCTGAGCTGAAATATTTAGATAGGTAAGACCCCTGGAGAAGTTCCAAAAGCGCCAGAGTCGTAAATCTTTCAGCTTAAAATTAGGCTAAATGCCTCAAATTAATAGACCAAAGCAGAATTTTACATAAAGCAATCACATTTCTAAGGCAATAGACTAGTTAAAAACAATATTTGGGTCACATCCGTAGAAGGCTCAAGTTTCTATAAAATCATCATTTCGAGTAAAGTTAATCAGGGAGCACCACTTACCATCAAGCTCAAGTCGAAGCAAATAGTCATTTACAGAAAGAATAAGTTTAATATGTCAAATGCATATTTCACCTTCAGGAAAGACAGATGAGCTGGGATTAGCTCCAGTGTTTGGCGAGAGGAGACCATCAAGAGAGTTTGAAGAACGTTGATGATATAATGCAGTTGATGGGCCATCACCAACTACCCGCACTCTGAGACTGAATATGTGGACAGTGCCTTTGTCACTCGAAACCACTGAACATTTGGAGATAGGGCAATACTGTATATATCTTCTTTGTCTACCTCTCTGCGTACCTGTAACAAGCAAAAGCAGTAAAATAAGGAAGCCTCACAGGGTGTGATCCATGATACGAAAAGCCATGCAAATATGAACCAAATTAAGACCCATTTGAGATCAACATTTATGTAAACAGCACTAGCCAAGGATACAAATCAAAGCAATATCTGTTAAGAGTCATTGCCACCATAAATTTGGATCAGTTGTATAGAAAAGGAGATTGAGCCACAAGACCAGAGCTTCAAACCAGGTGTCATTCTGTAAGTTCTCAATGTGCAATATAAAAAAAGCAAGGCTTCAAATGATGTAGAATCTTGATAGATAGGTCCATTGGGATAACTGCTTTTTTTTTTTTTTTAACTATCATCTTTAAGAAGATTCAGAAATATCTTGAATTGGTGCAAGTTGACCACTCGTTTAACTACCATTGTTTTTACCTTGAGGAATAAGGAACTACGATAAGAAATCAATAGGGATAATAAATCTCCTTTCAGAAGTGCAGTCCGTGCTTGTCAGAAATACGTCTATGGAGTTTCAATACGAATTAAGCTAAATAAACATAATGCTTGACATAGGGGTTGACCAACCACTCATATTGCATGTGGGTCCCGACCTGGATTAAATAATGCCGACCTCCTCATGTGTGTGTGTGTGTGTGTGTCATGTCATCCTCTATGTCAAGCATTATGTTTGTGTAGCAAAACTCTTCCAATATACGGTAATTTATCATAGTTTTTCTAACTGAGACAGACAGCCGCCAGTATACAGATTATTTCACTAGCACCAGTAACTATGACATCATAGGCTTAGAATGCAATATTTCGTGACCAGTAACTACTATCTTATGTCCTAATTCCAACACGAGAAATGCAAGAGGAAAAAGGTTATTACAGAAATAGCTAGTAGCTCTATATATTGTCCAAAAGTAACACAAGATCTTCAAACCACATAAATTATGGCTTTGTTCTCAAAAATGATAGTATGATGAACTGTAAAAACCAATGGTCTGAGCTAAAATTCCTTTCACTTCAATTATTTTTATTAAATGCTTTCTCTTGGCAACTCACAAACTTGAAAGGACTTGCTCCAGGAAATAAAGCTAGTGACATATCTCCTGTAACTGAGTTCCATCTATTGTGTTGAAATTTTTTGTCGAGTCCCTCTTATGCTGGCAGTCGCAAGAAGAAGTCCATCCATTGTCAAGGTCATGGAAGCTATGTGAGAGTCATGGACATCGATAAATTTGGTGATATTCAGGCCAAAATGTTCAAACCTGATCTGTCGTCGTCGCAGACCAGGGCAGGCAAACACAGATGAATTCAAGTGGTGTGAGAGGCAACAAAGTCCCCTGGGGATTGCCAGAGTCTATTTGGCAAAGAAGCTTCGAATCCATAAAATTGTAAACATATATCTTGTGTTCAACGACAATAACAACACGATCTTTACTTAGTTTAACAGCACGAACCTTGGATCTAAATGAGAACTCACCAATGCATCGACTCTGATGATCATCCCATATAATTACTTTGTTTGAAGGGTACTGGGAATTGGTTTTACTTCCGACAAGTGCTAAAATATTGCATCTGAAAATCATCTCCACAATCCTAAATCCCCCGCTTTTCAGATCTCGCCTGAAGGTTTCCTTGAAATGTTCACAGTTATGGGCATGTTCGGTAGAGATGAAAATTGAAAAACTAGCTGTTATTATTAACTTTTATCAGACGAGTGGGATCCAATAACGGTTATATTTTCAATTTTAATTGAATTTTAAGCTTAGCCAAACATGCTCTATATTTGTGAAAACCATGGCTAGTGCCAACAACAAAGCAACTGAACTCCTGAGTCCAAGACACAGAATGTAACTCAGTTTCTTCATTATCAGTGAGCTCTGCTTCTGAATGGACAAAAGAAGCTGAAGACCCAGCCACAGATAATTCGTGAACACCAAAACCTGCTGGTGGAACTACCCCCTGGGATTTTGAAACAGCTGAAGTCATGGGAGATGAGTGAATGGTCATGAGTATTGAGGCAACCAAACAACAAAGATGTTTAGACCAAAAAAAAAAATTCAAGTCAAAGATGGAAGATGACTAGGCCATATCAGCAACAGATAGGATGCATCCACATAATACAATTTCTACCATTTAATTAACACATAAGAGATTATTTGCACAACAATGAACTAAATCAGCATGCCAATAATCAACTAATTTAGCATACCATTCAATCTAAAAAAAAATTTGGGTACCTAAGTTGACTTCATTATCCAAGCATCAACATAAAATGTGGATCCAAGAATTCAAATATCGAATTCCTCATTAATTTCTAAGCATTTTGGAGGTGGTATAACATATAAAATAAAACAAGAGAATCAAGACCAATGAAAATACACAAATTAAGAAAAACTGCATACCAAAAAACAATAATGCAATTCTTTATATTAGGTGGTCATAAATTCTAAAAGAAATCACCACATTAAACCCAAAAAAATTAAGCAATAACTACTTAACGAGTTTCAATTCTTAGATAATTCTCTAAAAGATTTCTGATTACATCAAATTCATCGTGAAAATTAATAATTCAAACAGCTAACGTATTTTGATAATTTGACACATAAAATGTAATCAGAAAATCATTTTTTTTTCATTTGGGTCAGATCACACAAAATCTGCACAGTTATAGGGTATATATTTGAGTGCGGCATATATATGCGTATAGTTATACATATGAGGGGTGTGATACTTTACCCGCAGGTGCTGAATGTAAACTTCTGTAACGAGCTCCAGATTTTACAAATTCTGAAGAGATTCATTAAAAAAAAAAAGGAGATCTTTTTTGATGATTATGTGGACTGAAACGGACGCGTCACGAGAGAGAGCTGAATTCTGAAGGTAATCAACTCACATAGGATATACCGGATTTAAAGCTTAAATTTATCCGTATAAATGACTAGAAAATGAAAATGAAAATTTTAATACGTAATTATGTATCAAAATAGGGGCTTAATCTGTCTTTTCCTTTACCAACAAAATTCTTACTATCTTCATTTTCAACCACACATTCATATAATAAAATATTTTATAAAATTCAAAACTTATTTTAAAAAGTAAGTAAAAGTTATTGATTTGATAAAAAATATTATTTTATTAAAAAATGTGTAGTTGAAAATAAGTTTTAAAAGAAGGGAAATTATAAAAAATCAGGGGTTTAAAGTTTACTTTTTAAAAATAAGGTGCAAAGTTTGTTCAATCAAAAATCAGGTAATATATTAAAACATAACCCTAATCCCAAACAAAACCTAAATCGTTTCTATTCTATTCCTCCTCTTCATTCTCGTCTCCCTCTCTACCCTCTTCCTCACCGCCTCTACCTCTTCCTCACCGCCGCTGCCGCGCCTCCGCCTCCCTCCCTCCCTCAGCAGATAATCGCTGCTGCTGGGAGCAGCGATTTCGTTGCCTTTTAGTTTTTTTTTTCTTCTTCTGTGTTCTCTAGTGGTGCAGTGGTGGTGCTGTGGGTGTGTGTTGTGGAGGTGGCAGCGGCGGATCTGTTGGTGGTTGGATTGTTGTCTTTCTTTTTTTTTTTTTGCTATTGAGTG